CAGATGTTGCTCAAAAAAGACTTTGTTTTTAATCATTAAGTCTTTGTTCAGAAGAGTTTACAGAGTTTTTTGACCGTATGCTTGAAAGTCTGTCGATAAACTGGTTGGGTTAATTTGTTTGGGAATAGCTAGTTGCAGTCTGGTTCATAAGCAGGATTGTCGTTATAGACTTGGTTTTACAACTATGCTGGATGTTGCTCGGAAAAAAGACTTTGTAAGCTCCTCTGAAAAAAGACACACTAATTAGGAGTCAATGAGAATAAGACATACCTATTTCAAGTTGCCAGAGCAGTCACCAGCAAAACAGGTTATGACACCTTAAAATGCAGATGGTGTCCTTCTTATACTGAAGTAGTTCTCAGTCACAACAGTGATGCTAAATGTAAAAGACTGATGTCTTAAATGACATTGTCTACTGATTCCCAGAGGCAGCTGGAAAAGTCCAAGCAGATGGTTACGGATCGAGAGACTGAGCTGAAGGAAACCCAAAAGGCATCATGTTGCATCAGGGTAAGTTTGTGACTGAAATAATTTTCTGAACACTTTCTCCTATCCCAAACGAATAGGCATAAACATTGGTTGACTTCCCAAAGTCAAGTTGAATCATGAACAATAGGAGATGGGAGAGGGGCAGTTCGGAAACCGTCGTTCCATTTGGTGCCATTAATGGTGCAGAAAATGAACACACTTCACCCAAAATAAGAATGAGAAATGTTTCCACTAACAGAACCTGACTCAAGCCACAGAGGAAGAAGGTGACAGGATCTTCACCGAACTGCTCAGCTTTATACAGAGAAGCCACACTGAGATAATTACGCTGGTCCAAACTCAGATGACCACAGAGTTGAACCGGATTCAGGGACATTCGCAAGATCTGGAACAGGAGATCTCAAAGTTGAAGAGAAAGCAGTCCGAGGTGGAGCAGCTTTCACATACTGATGATCACATCTATTTCCTCCAGGTAAAAGCACCACCAGAACATTGCTACAAGACACTTTGGTTAAAAAAGTGGCTACCAAAATGACTAATTCTTAATTTGTTGTAGATCGCTTCTTTCCTCTCCTGATTATCTCCAAATCTTGTAGGAGGTCCAATCCCGCTGGCCGACTTCTAATGACTTCCAAAGCCTGACAACTAATCCACAGTTCTCTTTTGGAGAAGTGATCAAGTCCCTCATCTCATTAACAGCACATATAAAGGACATTTGGAGACTGGAAACAACCAGGATATTCTCAGCAGGTAAAAAGTGATGGGTGATGAACAAATTTGGTCCACAGAAGTGGTTGCCTTCAAAACAATTTTAGTCTAAAGTATAAGACCCGTTTGTCACACTAATGTCCTACCCAAACTAGACCAAACAAGACTGTTTCACTGATGGATTGATACAAACCTGTTAACCACCGACTCCCAGAAGTTGCAGAGCAATCAGTCACTGACATACAGTAAGAACTGGTGGATTTCAGCATCTTTAGATAACTTAATGTACCGCTGGTAAGTGAGCTGAAGTTGAAATAGTTTCATATGGAATCTGTACCTACCTGTAAAGAATTCACCGAAGACCCTAAAGGGATATGATATTAAAAAAATATGAAATTGGAGGAAAAGTTGCATTTCAATGCTTGTGCATTCTCTTACAAATGTTTTGCATGCCCCAAAAGAAACTTTGCATTCCCTCACAAAACTCCATGTAAAATTTCAAGGAAATGCAAAAGTTTTGTTGAGTGACCTCGACGTTTATCAGGGGAACCAAAAAGCATTGAAACACAATTTTCCCTCTAATCTCATATCTTATCCATCTCCATGCCACTTTAGTAAATTGGTGGGCAAATCTGGCCCTCGAGGGCCACTGTCCTACAGAGTTTAGCTCCAACCCTAACCAAACACCTGAAAAACTAACCAAAGTGTTTACTTGAAATGTATAGGCAGGTGTACTTGATTAGGGTTGGGGCTGAACTCTGCAGGACAGTGGCCTTCGAAGGCCTGAGGGTCTTGCTTTAGGGAAGGGGTCTCCAAACTCGGCCCTGGAAGGCTGGTGTCCTGCAGAGTTTAGCTCCAACCCTAATTAAACACACCTGAAGCAGCTAATCAAGGTCTTACACCAGGCATTCTAGAAACTTCCAGGCAGGTGTGTTGAGGCAAGTTGGAGCTAAACCCAGGGCCGAGTTTGGAGACCCCTGCCTAAGGGGCTCTGTAGTACTCAACAGAACACTTGGGATTTACAAAATCCTACATGTGTCCAACCTCTTGTGAAAAGGTCTGCAGATTCCCAAGTAACCAATTCAAGTTTATTTGTATAGTGCTTTTCACGATACAAATCGTTGCAAAGCAGCTTTGCAGAAAATTTTAAGTTTCTACCTGAATTATATTTAGGAGTAGGTTATTAGTGGTGACTATGGCAGAAATGTACAGTAAGAATCATGCAGTTAGTTACAAATTACACGTAATCAAACAGATGGTGAACCCTATTAACTGCAATGATTAAACTTTGCGATTGTGATTAAACGTTGTGATTAAGCAAAATTTGGTCGTTTTATATGTTGTTCCAGGGTTAGCATCATCTGAGGTCTTCTGGGGGGTTGGCATCATCTCTGGCATCATAAGGGTTGGATCCAGACTAAAGCTTCTGTAATTATTAGGTACCTTGGGATGCAAATCCCGTGGCAGAAACAGAGAAGCAAATAGAGCCTAAATTAGCATAGCTGCTGTTCCAACAAAGCAAAGATGATGTGTTCAACCCAAGCAAAAGAATGAAAATGTGCATTTGCTCAGATATAGCTGAAGTACAAGGTTATGAGATACATTATGTGAATGCTTGGCTAAAGAGATGTCTTTAATCTAGATTTAAACAGAGAGAGTGTGTCAGAACCCCGAACGTTATCAGGAAAGCTATTCCAGAGTTTGGGAGCCAAATGCGAAAAAGCTCTTCCTCCTTTAGTGGACTTTGCTATCCTAGGTACTACCAAGAGTCCAGAGTTTTGTGACCTTAGGGAGCGTGATGGATTGTAGCGTGGTAGAAGACTAGTTATGTACGCAGGAGCTAGACCTTTAAGGGCCTTATAAGTAGTAATATTTTGTAAAGGATGTGGAACTTAACAGGTCTTAACCAATCTGTTCTGTCACAACTCACGTCTCATTAGTGACTGCAGAAAAGATCCTACTGCCGCAAGAACCCAAGACGAGGGAGGACTTTATACAGTGTAAGTCATTCTACTTTACTTTAAACAGACGCCAAACTTCACTATGAAGCCAAAGGTATAATATGAAAATCCCAATCCCTAAAGATGCTTAGCCTTCGTACTGGTTTGTTAGCTAAAGATACTTCATTCACATTAAGTTCTGTTTTACACGCCAAGACAACTTACCAAGTTGTGAAGACCCAAGTAAGTGTGCATACACTGGTCTTGGGGTAAAGCTGGGCTTTACTTAGTTTTGCATTTTCACCTTGTTTCTCATTCCCCATCAGTTCTGGTTCCCTTGAGTCTGGACCCAAACACGGCCCACAGGAACCTTCGGTTAACAGAACAGTACCAGGCTGTGGCTTGCAGTATTGAGCCCCCTGAGCAAGGAAGGTCTGACAGGTCGCTGCTACTGGGAGGTGGTCTGGAGCGGACAGTACGGCGTCGACCTCGCAGTGTCCTACAAAGACATCAACAGAACTGGGCAAGGAGACGACAGTGGGTTTGGGTACAACAGGCACTCCTGGAGTCTGGACTGTTCCATGTTCAGATACGCACTAGTTCACAACAACGAGGAGACGGAGATCAGTGTACCCCTGTCCCACCGGATCGGGGTGTATCTGGACCACCGGGCAGGACAGCTGTCCTTCTACAGTGTCTCAGATACCATGATCCTCCTTCACAAAGTCCAGACCAGGTTCACTCAACCTCTTTATCCAGGATTTGGGCTCTTTCAGGGCTCAACCGCAACATTTTGTGAGCCGCAAGAAGGCGGATCACCGCAAGTAGTTAACAGAACCAAGAACAACAAAACTTGTATAAAACAAAGACGCATAAGAACAGACGTGACGAGAAACAAATATCTCAGATGTGGAAAGCGAGGTGCCAGCAGTACTGAATAAATTAAGGTGAAGATTTTCATATCTTGAATCGTCCAGAATAAAAACGTTTTCTTTAAATAAATCATAGGGGGAAATGGCATCATCAGTAGTGCAAAAAATTAAATCTGATATGAATTTTTTTTTTTTGGTAGCTTGACGTTTTAGGGAATATTTTTTTAAGGTACTGAAATAGTTATATATTGAAAATAGGAGGTAGCTTTTCATACATGGTTCAAAGTTTTCATTAATGGGAATTTAATTCTTGAAGTTTATCCAATTTTGTCCATTTTTTCTCATCCCCATGTTGTTCCAAATCTATATGACCTTTTTTCCACAGAACACAAAACGAGATGAATCAAAGAGCAGCTCTTACATTCACACATGTGCATTTTCAAACTTGTAGTTGCGCAGGTTTGAGGTCATCGAGACCAAACACCAGATTCGCGTGGTCTCGTAAATAAACACAAACCACCAAGTTTGAATATGCAGAAGCAGAAATGCAAAACAACTTAAATTTGGGTCTTTTCCTCATACAAAGCATCATATGGCTTGGAATATAACATACGGACACTTGTATAGTACTTCTATGCTGTTGTTTCGTCCTTTTTTTGGAGCTTGACAACCCCATGCTCAATAAAGACTTCAACACAGACAAATGTTATCTCAAGGTGCTTTTAATGGTCAGCTAATGAACCCAAAAGAAACAGATCATGCAGCATCTAAAAAAAAAAAATCAGAAGAATGAGTGGAGAATTAAAGGAACACTGTACGGCAGCAAAGTTCCTTGATTATTACGCCGGAATGAGAGTATATTTCCTAGCCATATCAGCCTAGAAAACAGCAACTTTTCATTTTCCGTTGGTCTTAGTCACACGATGTAACTACAGAAGAGTCAAGTTTTAAATAGGAAAAATATAGAAACTCTTTAGTCATTTTTGAGTGAGATGCTAACGGCCTAATCAGATTCAATGATCTATATGCTAAGCTACAGCTAAAAGTGCTACCGCTAACGGTAAAACTCAACCGTTTAACTCTAAGGGAGTTGGAAAATGAGCCTATTTTCAAAAAAAGTGGAGTGTTCCTTTAACGAGTATAATATACCCAGGACTTACTACAGTTCACAAACCACTTTTTTAACCAACCAACGCTTGAAGTCTGGGAAAACGCTCCTAGTTTGACACGGTTGCCAGATATTTAGTCACAGATGATGTTTCGCTCAATGCAGCTGAAGAGAATATCTGCAACTAAAATCCGGCGGTCATCCAGTCATTCCCACATCAGGTTATAAACACAATAATACAGCTTCTGGTTGTTTTCCAAAACACCTGCATCATTTGACAAACTACAACTCAATGAGCTTGTGAACTCAGGCCTATTAACTCATCTAGAGTATTTTCCTATTCACAAACTTTTAAGTCCAGAGTAGGGGAACCAAAGCAGGTGATTTTAACATCAAACCTAAAGTACTGGTTCAGTAAAGTCAGATTTGAGCTTGAGACGTTCTAAATGCGCCTGGGTGAAAAACTCAAAGCAAAACAAAAAAAACCCTACACAATGTTGAAATAACATCTTAAAGCACTCAAAATTCATCCCAAGTGATCGGAAAGGAGACTGTGGACAATTGAATTATTTACAAATATACATCATTCAGTTCCTTTCACAATAATACCTCTCAGAAATGGCAATGAAGGTGATTGGTTTACAATGCCGAATTTCACTTTATTTGAAGCGTTTTTGGTTTTAGGGAAATCAAATTGCGTCAAAGAGCATCTTGAACCAATTTCCCGATTAAAGTGCACATGGATGAAAGAGGGACACGAGGCGAGCAGTGGAGGGGGGGGTGGGGGGTGGTGGTAAAGAGAGATGAATACAGAGAAAAGAGCATCACTCTCCGGATCGACAGCAAGCCCTGAAGCCACACTGCAGATTCTGACACCCGCTGGCCTTGTCAGCATGAGGACCTGCAGGACCACAGAGAAATTCAAGTTAAAAAAAGCTCAAAATGAAGAGACAAAGCTTTCAATTCATGTGCTGGAATGAACAGTTTGTGTACATAGGTCCACAGAGGAGATTTCTCCCACTAGATTTCTCTTTTTTTATTTCTCCCACTAAACTGGGAGAAATAAACCGTACATCTAGAGCTGTATTCAAGAGGAGCGGTGGGTCGCAACCCATAAATTGGCCGTGGACAGCAGGAATAAACAGAAAACATGCTAAATCTAGATAATAAAATGCAACTAACCAATAAAATGCAAGTAGTCTATGAGCTAGATAAAGACAGCGTTCATAATAACCCACCCTTTACTTACCAAGATGCCGTCATACTTTGGACTTCATATGTGGAATTGTGTGCATTACAGTCATTTACATTTAGCAGACTTTTTCATACATCACATACATTTATTACATTCATGTAGCACAGGGATTCACAAATGTGTGTGTGTGTGTGTGTATATATACATACACGTATATACACACACACACACACACACACATACATACATATAGCCTACATATACATATACATATATATAAACTAAAATTTTAAAATGAACACAAGACATAAAAGAGAAAATGTTATATTATTAATATTAATAGTATCTCAAAGATACTAAAATAGCAAAATATTTTCTTTTTTATTAAGTAAAATTTAAAAAATATATATATATTTTGATTTTAACTTTTTATTATTTAAAATAAAAAATGTCAGACCAAAATAGTGTTCCATTTTGATTCATAATTGTAACATTTATTTATTTTTATTTGACTTTTATTATTCATTTATAAAATAAATATTAAAAATAAATAATTTTTAAATCAAAACCCTCAAAATAAAACATTATTTGGTCACATTTAAATTTTTACTATTAACTAACTATTAGCTACAACTTTTGCTTTAAAAAAAACTCTCAATTTTCGGGTTTTTAATAGTTAGTAAGGTAGTTTGAGTAAGATTAAAGGATCTAAAATATGGTCATGCAGAATAAGGCATTAATATATGCTTTATAAGTACTAATAAACAGCCAATATGCTAGTAATATGCATGCCAATAAGCAACTAGTTAATAGTGAGAATTTGGTCCTTAAAATAAGGTGTTACTCATTATTTATTATTACTAGCTTGTCAGAAACCCAGCAGCACAGTTTGGACATTCTTTATTCGTGGAGACTGTATGGCTGGACGCTTGGTATGAATCAGTGCGAGTACGTTCTGTCTATGTGTGAGTGTGTTACCGTTAATGTTATCGCAGTAGTAAAAGTGCTCGATGTTGAGGGAGGGGCAGACGGACACCAGCTCCTGAAGCCCCGCCCCCGTGATGAGCAGACAGCCGGAGAGATTGAGATGCAGCAGCAGAGGGAGTCCTCCTCGCTGAGACAGACACCTGCAACAAACACAAACCTTCAGACACTGTCTGCTTTGTGCACCGTCTAGATGTGCGTGTATGATTTCAATAACAACAGTCAAGATTTCAGAGTAGCATGAGAGCCCAAAAGCATCATGACATCTTTATCAATGCTTTGTATGATTTAAAGAGTTAATTTTATATTCATACTGCTTGTAATCTAATTCACTGTTAATTGTTTAATAGCCAGCATTGTTACTGTTACCAAAAACTATTTACAAAAATATTTTCATTAATTAAAATAAACTTACAAATAAAAATAAAAAAATGGGGGGAAATTTTAACTTTTTATTCAAAATTAGACAATTAGAAATCTGAAATAAGTACAAGCCTATGCACTAAAATTATTAAAAACTAAACTGAAAAAAAAAAAAAAAGATAAAACTATTTAAAGAAAAATAAAATAAAATTGCATAACCAAAATGCTAAAACAATGTTTAATAACCAATGTTGCTACTGTAGGGGTGTGCGATATTGACCAAAAAATTATATCTCGATATTTTATGGGATTTTATCTATAACGATAATTAGACGATATTTTGCTGAGTGTGTTATTGTGCTGATACCTTAAGGACTGCCGAAGACAGCTGACTCCTAATGTTTTTAATATTCTGTGTGGTGGTCAGTTCATACTGATAGTCTTGAATTTTGTGATCATTCTAAATGCATTTTAATAGCCTGAATCATGCAGTGAAAGAAAACACACTGAATGCGCACACGCACTAGTCTAGACTTCACGTAATGTATGCGTGCGCTCTGTAGGGATGTTTTGAATAGTTTTTGCAAAATACTCGATAATGTCAAATTGCACATCGTTAAAACAACAATTACGATATTATCGCAGACGATATATATCGCACACCCCTATGCTACTGTTTGCTAAAACTAAAACTATTGTTTTCGTTAATTGAAATAAAGCTGAAATAATATACAATTAAGATGAACAACAAACTTAAAAAGAAAAAAAACTAAGGCTATTAAAAATTGTTCTGGTATTTGAAATTAATATATATTATAATATATGTATATATAAAGCACAGGACATAAATAAAAGGGTAAAATATTAACAAATCTTAATTATATTATTAAATATATAAATATTAAAAATACACAAAAATAATCTACCAATATATCTCTCTCTCTATACTATCTATCAATCTACCTATCTACACACACACACATACACATATATATATATATATATAAAAACAGTATATGTAAGGCCCTATGAAATCCTTTTTATTTTTTTACCAAATTCCGTTTTTTCTTCTTCTCTAAATTCCGTTTACATTTTTCTAGACTCCTTTTTAATGGTTAAATTATTTTTTATTAATCAAAAAGTATGTCTAATTAATTAAAATAATGAATCTTACACAATTTCATATCAATTCATTAAAAGTTTAACAAAAACTACATGCTTGGGGCCCTATGAAATGTTTTGTTTTTTAAAATTCTGTGTTTTAGCATTTCTAATCATTTGAATGCATAAAACCAACTTAATTTATTCAAATTTATTCTTAAAATAGCCTTATGAAATGTTTTTTCCTCAGAAATTTTGTGTTGTGTAATTAAATTTTTTCTAAATGAAGGCATAAAACATTAATTTCATTTATCTTTTAATTATTGAAAAATTAAACTTTATTTTTGGCAAACAAAACGGAAATCATGGGGCTCTCTCTCTCTCTCTCTCTATATATATATAATATAATATTGACCTAAATATTTGCTTGGGAAATCTGATAATTTTGACTTCACTGAGAACTTGAAAGCTTGTTTTGTTTACATTTAATTTTAATTTAACTTTTTAAATAAAGGAATGTATTTAATAGCATATTTGCTTTCACTGACGTATCTAATTTGTTTAAAGAATCATGACATTTCTCAGGTATTTCCACTGACTACTGAAACTGTGGCATTATGACAACAAATCACTCACGAGAGAGGATTTATTTCGTACCTCAGGCCGAGATCCGTGATCTGATAGCATCCAGACAGGCTGAGGAACCTGAGTGCCCGATAGGCTCCTGATTGGTCAGTCCTGTTGTGATGCTCGGGGCAAGTTTCACCCTCAAACGAGCATTTAGTCCGAAACTCAACACTGCCCCCGGTGGCCTGGAGGTCACAGTGCGCTTCTCTCACAGTCCAGAGCGCCATGTCAGAGGTGCAGCAGGTGGAGTGACCACAGAGGGCCTCGCCCATAAAGCCGTACTGCCAGTGGGAGGAGCTAATACCAGTCCTGAAGCTCCGCCTCCGGCTCCTCCTACAGCAGCATGAGCTGCCGCCTCCCTGCAGCTCTAAAATGCAGCCACGCCCACTTTCCTGTGCAGACACGCCCCCTGGTCTGCTCCAATCGGCTGCATCCTCGATGTCGGCGAGTTTGGCCAGGTCGAGAACCCAGACGTGGGCGGGGCCACAACCGGAGCCACGCCCACCAGGTCTCCGCTTGAAAATGAGATCCTGGCAGCTGCGTCCCATTAGTGGGAGGGAACATTCGTCCTGGAATTTGATTGGAGAGGGTGGGGCTTTCAGCAGCTTGGCTCCACGATCCGGGCAGGGCGATGTTACGTCGCCCAATCCCAGCGACAGGATCTTTAGTGTGCGGTCCGTGATTTTGTCGCATCCCGAGAGATCCAGTTGCTCCAGAGTACGACACGCCCCAAACTCCGCCCAGCTGGAAAAAACGGCAAGTTGTAATATTCACGATTGCAAATGGGAAGTGTTGGGAAGGTTACTTTGGAAATATAATAGGTTACAGATTACAAATTACCCTATTTAAAATGTAATAAGTAGCGTAACTATTTCAATTACTTTTTTAAAGTAATGTAACCGATTACATTTCTAAAATTATAATGTTTTCAACTGTTAATCATTTTTAAACATTTATAGCAGGCAGGGTTAACCTTACAGTAGAATTCAACACTGCTTACTGTCAGACTTTCACAATCCTTCACCACTTGAATTGAGATTATAATAATTTAATTTTAAAAGCACAGCCGCCACAAAATCAGCCTTTAGCACCTCTGTTTACTTTGAGGTTAAATACAGACTTAAAATCATAACAAGAAATAGTTTAAGAGATATGATACTCTTTTTGAAATTAAATCTTCGCATAGCTATGACAGGAAACACTGGCATCTAACAATGTCTTGGAAAATCTTAATCTTACAAAATAAAGCATATACATAAACCCAAATAGGAAATAAAACGGTTATCGAATATGCATGCGTCCTATTCTGTCTCCTGAAACATTGGTGTCTCATATTTTAAAGCAGTCAATGCAATTTATGAAAGAAGTCAATCAAATCTGTATGTGTGAAAAAAATTCAGATGTAACACCCTTTGTAATCGTTAACATTTTTATAAGTAACTGTAATTTAATTACACATTTTTTCTCAGTAACTGTAACTGATTACAATTACATCTATACTGTAATTAAATTACGTAATTCCGTTACATGTAACTAGTTACTCCCCAACACTGCAAATGGGAAATGCAAAGGTGCCTGTTTGGCAATATTTTAGATTTTGAAAAGCCTATTGACTGGAAGTTTTTTTTTTAAACATTCGTTTCTTATTTATTGAAATCAACGCAGAATTGCCGCTAATTTGAAAGTGAAAGTAAAATGCGCACGGCACTTTTACAAGCCATTTGAAAGCGAAGAAACTCTAGAAATTCGAAATTCTAGAAACTCTGGAAATGATACATTCTAACAAACGCCCAGATGAGTGTTGGTTTGGAAAAAACTAATCAGAAGAAGAGCAAACCTGTCAAAGGCAGAGTCGGAGACGTCAGTCTGCGTGAGATCCAGGTGAGTCAGGTTTGGGCACAAACTGAGGATCTGTCGCACCTGGAAGGAGAAATCAGTGTATTTATTTACTTATTTATTTAAATGGCATAACAGCATCAAGGAATACATTATAAAAAAAATACATACAATATACAATTACATTTATATTCAAATGATAAGAACAACTTTAAATAGTTCACTCAAGTATAATAACTATATTTCATAGATATATAATAATATAACAATATAATTAATACAGTATAATATATAAATATAAGTAGAATGAATTAATTTAATAATAATATTAATATTAATAATAATAATAAATGAATAACATTAAGATAACAGCAGGACAGACCAGGAAAATATGCTTAATAGTCAAAGTTTTTACAAAATTACAATATAATAACTATATTTCATAAAAATATAGTACTATAATATATCTAATAGAATATAAAATTTAATATAATAATTATATTATGTTATATTACATTATATTATATTATATTATATAATTCCCAGATTAAACCTTTTTAAAAAAGTATTAATTCATTTTTGTAATAAAAAATGTAATAACAATAAAAACAGGAAAATATGCTTAATAGTTAAAGGTATCTTTCAAAAATGTTATATAATAACTATATTTCATAGACATACAATATAATATAATAATGATTAAGATTAGATTGCAGGTCCCAAATGAAATATTTTTTGGGAATTAAAAAAAACAACAACTATTAATTAAATGTAATAATAATTTAAAAAAGAATAAGATTTAGAAGGACAGACTAGTAAATATGCTTAATAGTCAAAGTTATCCTACCAAAATATAATGTTAGTTAGATTATAGCTCACAGATTATACCTTTATAATAATTTAACAATTATAAAACAATTTAAAACATTGGGCCTCATTCATGAAACAAGCAGAACAAGTTTTTGTGTAAATTGCTCGTAAACAGACGTAAACTTTCGAATTCATGAAAATGTTCGTATTTTCAAAATGTTAGTTGGCACGAAAGAAATGTACACTTGTTCCCTACCACATACAAAACCAAAATATGAACCTTTTATTAACCATAATAGGGGCGCTTTAAGGCCGTTTCACACGGAGCGCGATGCGAATTGCCGAAGAACATTGCTTTCACACCGAGCGCGAAACGATTGTTCGCCTTCTGCTAATAATTCACGCATGCACGCTAGGGGGCGCCGACCAACAATGCATTTTTCCTCAGATATGCGTCTTCGAAAGAAATGTACACTTGTTCCCTACCACATATAAATGGTGCGTAAAACGTTCTGTGTTCTTTTTGGCAAACTGATGACACTGCATTCTGATGCAATGCTATCATAATATTTCACAAGCTCATTTGCTCTGTCTTTGCCATTTTTTTTCTGTAGCTGAGAGTTCACAACTGTAAAACGCAGCGCTCGTCACCGTCACTTTTTACCCAGCCGTCCAATCACGGTGGAGGAGGGGTGGGACAAATACTACACCGACCAACCATCCTACTTTGTAAAATGACTGAACAACAATGGAGAAGTTAATATTGCTGGTAACTCAAATCATTGCAAACAAAGCTCCACCAGCTGGCCGTTTTTAGAAGAGCGCCTGCTGGCTAAAAATGCTTTGGTGGACACATGTTAATTGAATGTTTATGCTTTCACACCGAGCGCGAAACGATTGTTCGCCTTCTGCTAATAATTCACGCATGCACGCTAGGGGGCGCCGACCAACAATGCATTTTTCCTCAGATATGCGTCTTGTATATGGATTTAACATCGTCCGCTGCTCAATATACAGCATTAAATATAGCGAAATAAAGTTTGGTTCTACGCCAGAAACACAAACTATCTATAATGCTTACAAGAATACATCCTAAAATATAATTAGAGGTACAATTAGCATCAAGCCACATTTGAAAATGTATGCGATTATTTATGTTTTTGCTTAAAACCCACTTTAAACCATCATCGAGTGCTTGTAATAACTTCCTATTGTGATCTATAGTTGATTTTGATTCTATAATAGGCAGATAGGCATGATCTAAGCTCAAATCTGATTGGACAGCCCGTTTCATCGCGGAGCGATGGGGAAAAAAAATCGACACAGGACGGAAAAATAATCATCGCTTTTTCGCACCGCCAATGATCGCGCCTGGTGTGAATAGCCCCATTAGGGATATATTGTAGGGATTTATTGTTTCGCTCAGTGTGAAAAGGACTTTAGGCCCAAAAACAACCCCACACATAAATCTTAAATGACTGTTTTCTGTACACATTTGAGTCATGTCTACTTTCGAAGGAAGTAAAAATCACGGAAATAATATGTGACCCTGGAGCACAAAACCAGTCTTAAGTGTAAATTTTTCAATATTGAGATTTATACAGCACATGAAAGCTGAATAAATAAGCTTTCCATTGATGTGTGGTTTGTTAGGATCGGACAATATTTGGCCGAGATACAACTATTTGAAAATCTGGAATCTGAGGGTGCAAAAAAATCTAAATACTGAGAAAATCATCTTTAAAGTGGTCCAAATGAAGTTCTTAGCAATGCATATTACTAATCAAAAATTAAGTTTGGATATATTTACGGTAGGAAATTTACAAAATATCTTCATGGAACTTGATCTTTACTTAATATCCTAATGATTTTTGGCATAAAAGAAAAATGGATAATTTTGACCCATACAATGTATTGTTGACTATTGCTACAAATATACCTGTGCTACTTATTAGAGCCCGACCGACCGTTTTGCCGATATTATCGGCCGATATGAGCCTGTCGAATTGTATTTATTTACAGAGGTATATTATGTCACACTTCACACTTCTCTAGTAAGTTTGTCTGTGTGTGAAGACAGTAGCGCAAATCCGTGAATGAATGTTCCGAAGTGAAATAAACTTCAAATGAACAAAGTTGAATGGAATTGAATTGAATTAACCCTTTGGGGTCGACCAACGCGGATACGCGTTTTGTGGCATCTTCTCCTGATAACACCGAAAAGAACTTAAATTACACTTTCAGTTTTGATCTTACAGATAAGAGCAATACATCAATCGAATCTGTAAATGGTCTACTTTTATTTGTATACACGCATAATAACAACAAAACTTTGTGCATTTATAAAATAAAGAAAACAAACATGGTGCGCTGTCTGCCGCCTTGGTCTGCGTGATCTTTATTTAGAAACGCGTCATTAAAATGAACTGTAACTCAGCAAATACTCAACAAAGAGACATGAGAGATATATCTATAGAAAGCTTGACATGTCTACTTTTAAACTAAGCAAGTCTTATCGAAAGCAAATATTCTGTGATAAAGTAATCCATATGAAACCAACGCGTTGTCCAGTGTTTCATGTCTCCCTTCATTATATCTAATGCGACCACGCCCACGCGCTGAGCGCGCTATAGATATTATAATCATCCACGTGAAGCGCGTGGCGTGTAAATGCCCACATTACAGCAAACAAAGCAGCAAGACCTCAAGTTTTTTAAATTTTACTGTTCGTGTTGTGCTGAGAGGAATAAGACAGAATTCACCTCAAGAAGCTTTGGATTACCTCAGGAAAAAAACAACGCAGCGGCTTGATCCAGCAGTGATCATAAACACAAGTAAGTCTTTTTTTTATTAACCTACTTGTATTAGTTTTCACATAACTTGTACACATTTTACTAGTTAGACTTTTTCCAAACTATAATTCCCGACTAAATGTATAATCAAGTGAAACATTATGAAGTTTCATTCACAGCATCTAAATGTCACGATGCCAGGTTTTTTTTTTTATGTTCTATAACAGACAGAAATACGATATAAAAGTAATATGAGTTATAATGTTACTAGCCTAATGTCAGTAAGAATGATTAGTCAAAACTTTACTGTGATAGGATATTCTCTGTTCACGAATATAGCCATATACGTTTATAACTATAGTTTTTGGACTGTATAGGCCTACATACAAAGCATGCTTGCGTTTATGAATCTAACTAAGCTTCTGTTCATGAATATCTGCTCTGGTGTAAATATTTTGAATGTGTTATACCCGTGTCTTATGGAGTAATGACGCTGAAATGTTTGAAACTGTTTTAATTTTC